CACACCAGGGCAGGGTGGTGAGTGGGTGCTGTGTTAGGGGCAGGCCTGGGGGTCTCAGGGGGGTCACACAGAGGCCAGAGGGAGATGTGAGCACCCAGCCCTGGGCACAGAGAGCACGGCTGGGCACCCAGGCACAGTGCCCTGCCTTGCTCCTACTCAAAAGCAGCACTCAGGCAGCAGTGCCATAGCAGGGGAGATAAACCAAGGGCTCTTGGCACCTCTCCATCCCTCCTAAATGCCTTATCTCCTTCACCCCATGACCCTCCCTGGGCTGGTCAGATCCCCAGGGAAAAACACCCAGTGCTGGGAGCTGTGCCAGGGGCTCAGGAGAAGATCCATCACACGTGTTGCTTGATTTCATTTACCCGTGCTGAGCTGCTGCTGTGACTTTCCTGTCTTTGCCAGAGTGTTGCTTCTGCTGTGCCAAATCCATCCTTTTCCCAGGCAGCTGACACAGCCTGGAATCTCTCATTTTTCTGGAGGTGTGGGGGGCTGTGACCCCCCAGCTCTGATGATTTGTGTGAAGGGTTATGTCTCCTTGCTCCCTCCCTTCTCCCCATCCCCAAACCCTTCCCAGATTCCTGCTCACCACGTACAAATATCTGGGAGAGGGATTAACTGGCAAAGACTCAGCCTGCCAAAGCCAAGCTCACAGTGGGTGTCAGTACGTACAGAGGATGAAGATGTGCTGCAGGCTCTGGAAATGAGAGGTCTCATACTCATTCTGCTTCTTTTTGGCCAGCTCCTGGGTGACCATGCATCTGTCACAAAGGCCAGCTCGCAGCCTGGGGGAAGGAAACCCCACAGCCTGTTACGACGTGAGAGAAATAAGTTCCTGCCCTGCCCATGGGGAAGTGTGAACACCCAGACCATCACTGAGAATCACCCCCACAGCCCAGAACTGGCCTTTGCCCGACCCAGCCTCACCACACCAGCCTAGGAAAGCTCCTATGCACCTGCCCAGACTCCTCCAGCTCTCCCAGCAGCTGAATATAGGAAAAATAGAGTTTCATGTGCTGCATCCCAGTCCTGGGGAGACTGCAAACCCCAAACTCTCCCCCAGGACTGTGCAGTCACTGCTACTCAACAGTACCCTAATTAAAAACAAATCCTACCTGTTTTCTAACACCTTTACATTTTCTTTCAGGACCTTCTGTTGTTCCCTTAATTGGTGATTTTTAGCAAACAGCTCTTCAATTCTCTGAGCATCGCTAGTTGAAGAAACACAACAAAAAAAAGCAGGGTTGTTAGATTACTTCCCAAAATCTGTGCCTTCATTCACAGTGCCCTTTTTCTTGTGTGGCAGGAGGGGAAACAAATGTGTTGGAGCCTGGATCCTACCCCTGACACCCCAGTTTGTTCCTCCCACTAATTGTTCTCCAACGGGGAAAGAACCGGGTGGCACAAGCATCACCTGCCTGTGGGAAGGCAAACTGGAGCTGGGCTGGGATCACCCCAACCCTGCCTGGAGCCAAAATCTGGCAGTGCCAGAAGAGCAAATGGTGGTCTTTAATGCAGCAGTGTTGGAGAATAAGTCAGAAGTCTGAAATTGCAGTGGTGTAACCACCCCTGTGCCCCAGCATCGCTCACCGGCACTTCTCTGTGGTCATCTCCATCACCTTGCTGTGCAGACCTGGAATAATGGACAGACACACAGACATGGGTGTTTGGGGCCAATTCCCCAGCACTCAGAAGCAAACAGCACTGATGGAATGTCAGGAAGGTGCGAGGCTTTGCAGAAATCTCACCCATCCACAAACCTGATCTCTGATAAGGAATAACACATTGCATGTGTTCAACACAGCCACAGTTTAATGTAACTGGGAAAAGTTGTACAGAATGTGAGCTCCTTTTGTATCCCCACTATTTAATGAGCCTGCATCTCTTTTGCAGTCCCAAAAAGTCTGGTTTAGTTTTGTTTCTACTTATTTCTCTCTACAGCCTGTGTGTCCCAGGTGGGCAATATTTTATAGCTTTCATGGTTGGAAAGCATCTTGGAGAATATTTACAGCTGAACGGCTTTCCTTGATGGATCTGCAGACATTGTATCCTGTCAAATCCATTTTATGCAAAGTAGATGTAAACATGTGGTTTAAATTGCTCAACAGTTTCCTCTAACTCTCACATGGCTTGAAATTACACAAGAGAAGAATGAATTCATAAGCCAGAATCATCCAAAAGTGCTGAAGTTTTGTTCATAATATTGATACTGGGAATTATTCTAATAGGAAAACAATTGGGCTTGGCACTTGGTTGCTTAACCTAATGGGTTTTATTTTAATAATGTATGGCCTGAGAAATAATTTATTCCCTAGAGGAATAAGCTATCCAACCTGACTCAAACGTTTTCTTTAACGGACCTTCATCTCCTGCTGCTTCTGTCTTATAGATTATTGCATCTCTGTGCTGTCCCTTTGATCCCTCTGTATCCAAACACACTGCAATCCTCACTGATGGAGCAGATGCCCAGCAGGGGTGAGTGTCACCCCTGCAAACTCCCAGCTCACAGACCAGGACAACAGGGGCAGGAGGAGCCAAATCCCCCCTGGTTAATGCTGGGAGCACCTGGGATTCCAGCAGGAGCTGAGCACCTCCATGGCCTCCTTTCCACAGCATGGAGTGCAGGAAAGTCCTCTCTCTTCTGAGAGAACAAGTTACTTCTTCATTCAAAAAGTCACTTTTTCCTCAGTATGCCAACGAGAGGTGCAAATGTGCCACCAGTGGGTGTTGTCCCCTGAGGGGCAGGCTGTGACCTCATGTCCCAAGCCATCCCCAAGGGTGCTGCTTGCTCAGCACTAATCCCCAAATCTCCCTAATCCACACCTGCTCCTCCTCCCTTCAGGTTATTTGACACCAAAGGGATCAAGGTGGTTTTACAAAGAAATGGATCTTGGCCAGGTTTTGTTAAGAAAATTTTGTCTCCCTACCTTGGACCTCTTTCTCATGGATTTCCTTGAGCTTGTTCAGGAACTCTGCAAAACTCTCTGTGGTCATGGTCAGGACTGAGCCACACACCAGGCTGTGTCCAGTGTGAGGGTGTCCTTCTGCTTCAAATTTCAGCCTAAAATAGAAAAAAGAGTCCAACAAAAGAGATGTGCCTGGTGCATGTGGTGTTCTGGAAAAGACAAAGCCCAAAGCTGGGAAGGAAAATCGTTTGCTAAACCTTGGGATGCATTTTTGTCCACCCTGCCTCAGTGCTGAGCGTAGCAAAGAGCATTTCTTAGATACTGCAAGAAGCCCAGCTGGAAAATCAGGCTCTTCCTCTACTTGTTGAGCTGTTTTAATTGCATTTCTCTGGGATGAGGTGGGGCAGAGCATCTTCTTGAGCATAAAGAAGGGACTGCAGGACTCGTGCTGGGATCACATGGGGACTGATGATGGGGAAATTCACAGCAGATTTGGTGCTTGAGCCTGATGGGCTCATCTCCTGCTGGATGTTCCCTTGCATCCCTCATCCCTATGGCACCAGGCACAGCTTTTACAGAGGCAGCACACAGCACTCAGCCACCCCAGTGCCATCACCCAGGCTTCCTGCATGGCCTCACTGGCTGCAGCCTCTTCCAACCCTTGGGAGACACCAAACAGAGCTTTTCCACCCAATTTTACAGAGAAACCACGAGAGGTGGTGCCCAGAGCCAAGAGCTTCAGGAAGCTGTCGTGGGCACATCCATGGAGTCCTCTGGAACCACCAACACCACACTGGGAAAGAGGAACTTCCACAGGAAGGCGTTTAGCATCTCCTCACAGGAACTTCTCCCCCCAGATCATTCTGGGTTACTGAGTCATGGTGAGTAATTCTGACCCCAACAGAGCACCTGGACACTCAGCCTTCAACCCCAAAGAGATGCCCCTGGAGCTGGGCAGTGAAGGGTGGGCTGGCACCCAGGCTCTGCATCCCCATGGGAAGGTTGTGCTGGGCTCTCCCAGCCTGGCTCCCGCCCCTGCCTTTATCTGCATGTGCAGCAGGGACGTGCCAGATCGCCTGCATATGCAACATGTGGGCATGCAGAGCTGGAAGAAGAAAGTTTCCCCTAAAGCATCTGATTTTCAAAAGAAATGAGGCACGTGGCAGCAAGCAGCAGCAGCGAGCTCGGCACGCTCGGGTCGGGAGCGGTGCCTGAACATGAACCCTCCTGAGCCACCCTGCCTGGCTTGGAGCAAATCTGCTGCAAACTGAGCGCAGACCTCATTCTCTGGGGAAACAACTGAAAATATTCATCACTCCTGCCTCCCTGGGATAACCCACCCGTTGCCAGGGCTGGGTGATCGAAGCCAGCAAATAAAAGCACAGTGTGGCTCGTCCAGCTTGGGATCTGTGAAATGGAACTGGGAGCTGATCTCAGCCCCAAGAGCCACAGTGAAGAAGCAGCCAGGGGAAATAACGTGCAGCTTTAACAGCAAAAACCCTCCTGGTGTTAATGGGATGTGTTGCAGACATCTTTTCATGAAAAATCCTTTCCTTAAGATTTTTCCTCCTGAGAAGCTGAGAGGGCTCAAAACCAAAATGTAAACAATGATTGTCTGCTGCTGTGGAATGCAACAAGTAGATCTATGATTAGCTTATGTTAGTTTGTTCATAATTAATGGCCAATCATAGTCAGCTGGCTCGGACTCTCTTTCCAAGACAGAATATCATTCTTTGGCATAATTTTGATCATAACTCTTTGTTATCATTCTTTTTTTTTCTATTCTATTCTATTCTTAGCTACCCTTCTCAGGAAACCTTTTCTTCTATTCTTTTAGTATCGTTTTAATATAACATATATCATAAAATAATAAATCAAGCCTTCTGAAACATGGAGTCAGATCCTCATCTCTTCCCTCATCCAAGAACCCCTGTGAACACCATCACAGGGATGCACTTCCCAGGATCTCTGAATCCTAAATGAGGCTCTGCTCTGGGCAAAGCACCTCCCCAGGGCTGAGGGGAGCTTATCAGATCAAACCATCACAGGGCTGACACCCCAGGTGCCAGCTGGGAAGGCTCTGCAGGCACTGATTGCCACTGCATTCCCCAGTGCTGTCAGCTGGGAAGGGATTACAGCTGGTGGCTGCATGTGCTCCTGCTGTTCTTGCTGCTGCTGGACCAGCTCCTGCCCACCTTGTACCAAGGGTTCAGCCCTTTCCCCAGGGCTGGCTTCTCCTTGGGCTGAACCCATCATTCTGAGGCACAGGGGTTCAGCTCAGCCACCCCGGGAAGGTGACACCCAGGCTGGGACTGTGCCAGCCTCTGCTCAGGGAGTGGGGCTGGGCTGGTGTGTGGAGGGAGGTGTGGGGGCAGCCCAGGTGTCGCTGCTGGAGCTGGATCCCTGCAGCTGTGACTCAGTGCAGAGCCCGCAGATCAGGATTTGGGGCTGGGCTTGGGCAGCAGCTTTACTTCCAGGATTGGGGTTTACTCCTGATTTTCTGTTCCTCTGAGCCCTCAGGTGAGTGGAGGCCTGCTGCAGATCCAAGCAGCAGTGAAAAGCTGCCAGTTTTGGTGCTTTTAGAGATGCCACAACCCCTCTCTGCCTGCAGATGGAACAGCCACTCTGCGGCAAACCTGGTGAGGACCTCAGCTCTCCTCTGTGCTGAGAGATCCTTCATGAGCATGGCTCCTATGTGTCTTTGCCAGGATTCAGCCTTTTCCTGCAGCAGAACAGCCCCAGTGACAGCCCAGGCTCCCTGAGGGCTCAGCTTTGCTCCCTCTCACGCTGTGGATGGGTGAAGCTGTGAAGCTGCAGCTCCTGCTCCTCTGCCCTGCTCTGGAGGATTTATTGAGGGAGATTTACTGCTGCAGCCCAGAGCACAGAGCCCCAGAGTGTGGAGCTGGCTCCCTGAGACAGGGATTTCATTCGGAGCCCTTTGCAGAGCTGTCACTGTGATGTAGAGCTGCTGGTGCTGCATGCAGCCCCGTGGCAGGGCTGGAGCAGCCCTTGGGCACCCCAGCAGGGCTGGGAGTATTTCACAGTGACAGTGCCCTCTGCAAACAGAGCCCCAGTGGCAGAAACCAAAGGCAAACTCCTCATCCAACCCTAAACCTGGAGGGTTTGGGAAGCCCAGGACTGGGGGGAGCTGCTGTTACCTGCTGTGGCTTTGCTGCCCTCTGCATCCCTCGATGCTCACTCAGGGTGGGACACGGCTCCAGTTTGGGTCCCTGGGTGTCTCCTCTCATGCACGGGGCTGGAGCAGCCCCCAGCATCTCCTGGGTACCAGTGACAGGGTGCTCCTGTTGTGAAGGGGAAGCAGCAGACAGGTTATTTCTGTCCCATCTGAGGGGCTGGGGAAGGGATGGGCTTGGGCAGCTGGCTCTGACAGCACAGCCAACCCTCATTCCTTGGTCCCCAGGGAGTTCCTGGCCTCTCAATGGCATCCCCAGCACTGCCTGTCACACTCACAGTGTGACATCCCACCCTGAGCCCTGTCTCCTTTCAGCAGGATAAAGCAGCTCATTAGCTAAACGAGCTTAAGTCATTAAAAAGAAAAAAGCAGAAAAGAAAAAGGCATGACAGTGACATTCTGATGCTGTGGGATCAGTGAAGCTTAATGGATTTGCCAGCAGGTATTTCCATCAGCAGTGTTGGAGCTGCTCAGCTCCAGGCTGGATTGATGGCACACACCTTTCTCTGGGCAATGCTGGGCAGAGCTGCTCTGACCAGCCAAACTTTCTCTCCTTGGCTCCCCTGCCATGTTCCTGGTCTAATTTTAGAGTTACAAAACAAGTTTGTACTCAGAAAAACTGCCTGATCACTCATGGAAAATCTGCAGTCCAGGAGTATTTCACAGGCCAGTGTGGAGCTGATGCTCTTTGCTGATGTACTTCACTTGGCAGCTTGAGGAGGGCTTTTTTGGTACATTGGGGGATTCTTTTTTTTTTTTCTGGATATTTATTTATTTGCATGACTTAACATGGCACAGACTGCCCTGAAATGGAGCCCAGTGCCTGCTCTCCACCGTGCTGGGTTTGCTGTGGGTGCCAGATTGCAAAATTACCTCCCAACAGGTGAGACAGGAGGAGCAGCCTTGGCTCTTGCCTCTCCAGGGGGGAGGATTTGCTGCCTTCCTCTACCTGGCACAACCTGAAAATCCTCCCCAGAGCAGAGCAGGGCAGAGCAGAGCAGAGCAGCTGCTCCATGCTGCTCCACCAGCCCAGGGCCCGTTTGCTGGCTGCTGCAGGGGGGTCCCTTTGGGCTGATGTGGGGCTGAGCACTCCTCTGACCTGCCCCAATGGCCCTTTGGGTTTGTGGCACAGCCCCCTGAGCCAGCCCAGCAGGAGCAGCAGCACAGGAGATGCTGGCCCTGCTCACAGGCCTGTCCCATGCAGGGAGAGCTGAGCTGCAGCAAACCCTCCACGATGCAGCTCCAGCCTCAAGTCCCAACCTGCACCCTCTGGGGCTCTGATTTACTTCTAGCCCAGAAAGTCTCTGTTGCCATAATACAGCATAGCCTTGGTGATCACAAACTCAGCAGCTCCATTTCTCCCCCACCACCCTGGCCCTGTGCTTTTCCAGCTTCTCTGGCAATCACCAACCCCCCAATTTGAGGTTTTTTCCATTACCTCATTTCTGCTAAGAGCCCTTATTCCCCTCAAGAGTCCTTGTTACTCCTTGCCATAGGGACATCCCTCCCCTTGTTATTCCTTGCCATAGAGACATCCCTCCCCTTGTTATTCCTTGCCATAGGGACATCCCTCTCCTTGTTATTCCTTGCCATAGAGACATCCCTCCCCTTGTTATACCTTGCCATAGGTTCATCCCTCCTCCCAGCAGAGCCTTGGCTGCCCTGACCTTGCAGGGTCACTAAAATCAGAGCTGTTGGTCCTCTGCAATGCCTGAACACACCCATGGGTCTGACTGGCTTTCACACAGCAGGGTGGGCAGTCTGGGGGTCTCTCCTTGCACTGGCCCCATCTGGAAGGGGGTTTTGTCCTCCCACTTCCCAATTCCTGAAGCTTTGCTGAGGTTTGACAGTAAATATTTGTTTTGCTCTCCAGTTGAGGACAAGTGACATTTGGA